AAAAGACCCTGATGTTGGGAAAGTGTGAGGGCAAGAGGAGAAGGGGACGACAGAGGATGAGATGGTTCGGCACTGTCATCGAAGCTACCAACATGAATTTGACCAAACTCCGGGAGGCAGTGGAAGACAGGAGGGCCTGGTGTGCTCTGGTCCATGGGGTCACGGACAGTCGGATGCAACTTAATGACTAAACAACAACAACAACAAAAAGAAGCATTCAGGCTACAATGTCAAAGCCTAAAAAGAATTTCTGAATTTTACTTCTTCAAACTGTTATGAAAAAGGGAGATGGAAGTAAAGAGAGATGGAACTGTTTTATTTCCAATCAATGTCCATTTCACACGACTTCCTCCATTTCAGGGTGCAATTATACTGGGAAAAATATGGAAATACTATGGTGAGGAGGAAGCCCTTGTTTACAGGTTATTAGCCAATACACTTTTAAATGCTCCTCCTATACAGCCTCAATAGAGCTGTAAACAAGCTGCAAAGAAAGTTTTCCTCTCACTCCCTATGTAGCTACTTAAAGTGTATTGTCTACATTAATTTTATTGAAATGACATGCATTTCTAAACATATTTTCTTTAAAAACACTCATATATAAGAATGCATAATGGATTTTTTTGTTTTGTTTGGGTGACACTGTGCCATCAAGCTGAAACTCACCAATAGTGACCCTAACAGAGGTTTTCAAAGTATTTAAAGAACAGTTTTATCAGTTCCACCCCCTAGTAAATTCCCATGGTCCAGCAGGAATTTGAACACAAGTCTCAAATCCTAGTCCATCACTCTAGCTGCTACACCATACTGAGTACAACACACCGGGAGCTTTTTAAGCAGTCTGATAAAACAGAGTAGTTCAAACTTGAAAAGGATTGTTAAGTTTCAATCTCTGTATTAGTATGAGAGATATAGATCAGATCAGTTTATGTCAGGATGTACAAAGATAAACTTCTTCAAATATATCTAGCTGACAAACAACTTAGCAGCACAATCCTCTATAAGTGTATGCAAAAGCAAGTACAGTATCAGTCATTTCAATGTGGCTTACACCTAAATAAGTGGGTATAAGTGTGCACCCTAAAGTTTATCCAGCTTTACCAAGCATTGGACAGGAGACATAACATGGCATTGCATGTTATGTGGCAGAATAAAGTCAGGAGAGTACTGTTTGTTACAGGCAACCTTTCACTTTACTTTGGTGTAGACAGATTACATGTTCACTCAGCCGTGAAACTGGGAGAAAAAAGCAACAGACAGGCAGCTGTTTTGTACTATACTAACAAGAATATATATATAGAAAAAAATTTCTGTCTCAGCCTTTATTTTCAGTTGAAAAGAGGAGGAATGAAAATAGTAAACAAGGGAGCTGTTATTAATCATATTGCATCCTCTATAATTTCATCCTCAAGGTCACCCAATTCCTGAACAGAATCTGTTAACTTGAACCAGAAGAATAGAGGGGATTGGTGAAAAATACCTGAATACAGGCAAACGGCACTGTAATTAAAAAAAAGAGTAGACAATACACCAAATTTCAACATTTTAATCTTAAAATTTAGAAATTCAAATTTTGATGCATAGTAATTCAAATTATCCTGCCTAGTTATACCGGCAAAACACAAATAGTGTAACTTTTGGAAACAAATTGCCTGAAGTTAAGTAATCACTTTAGACATTATCTGTTGCATACTGAATTGTATGACTCAGTGTGCAACTGATAATGTCTGTGATAATTTCTTAACTTGGAGCAATTTGCCTCCAAAAATCATACTATTTGCATAGCTATGTAAGATTTTAGCTCTGCAAAATTCTGGTTATTCACTATGAACTACTAACATACAGTTCTATTTTGGTACAATGCATCTGAGGAAGCGTGTCAACTGATAGAATAATATATCTGTTTATCTTAAACATGTCACCCAAATTTTTGTTGTTTTGTTCTCATATATCTATCATGGTTTAGAATAAATCATTTGGGAACTGACCTGTGTTGCATCTGCAAGGGAATCCTGGGTCATTCTAGTCAGTTTTCGTAAGTATCTTCCATATATCACAGCTATGAAAGCCAGAGGTGGCACCACACTCAGAACGAATGTTGCAAGTTTGGGGGATACAAAGAACTAGAAATTTTAAAAAAAAATCAACTCAGTATTAACATTTAAATACAATTAAATAGGTTCTGCTAGTTCTATTAATTAAAGATGACAAAAGCATAATGCTATGCAGTTCTCTTTCAGTGGCCAAAGTCCTGTTCCTTAGCCTAGTAAGCTGCACTAGAGTAGGCCCATTCATAGAATCATAGAAAAGTGAAGTTGGAAAGCGCCTACAAGGCCAAGGCCAAACCCCTGCTCAAGGCAGGAATACAATCAAAGCATATCTGCAGGTGATTATCCAAGTTTTTCTTGAGTGACTCCAGTGTTGAAGCACTCACCAACTCCTGAGATAACTGGTCCCATTGTCATACCGCTCTAACAGGTAGGAAGTTTTTCCCAATATTCAACCAAAATCTGGCTTCCTTTAACTTGAGCCCAGTGTTGCATGTCCTGCACTCTTTGATGATCGAGAACAAATCTTGCCCCTCCTCTGTATGACAGTCTTTCAAATATTTGAAAACAGCTATCATATCCCCCCCTCAGTCTTCTTTTCTCAAGGCTAAACATGCCCAATTCTTTCAGCCTTTCCTCCTTGTCGCCCTCCTCTGAACTTGCTCCAATTTGTTAGCATCCTTCTTGAAGTGTGGTGTCCAGAAGTGGACACAATACTCAAGCTGAGGCCTAGCCATAGAGGAGGACTAGCACCTCACAGGATTTGGAAACTATACTTCTATTAATGCAGCCTCAAATAGCATTAGCCTTTTTTGTAGCCACATCACACTGTTGACTAATATTTAGCTTGTGATCCACAACAATTCCAAGATCCTTCTCGCTCACAGTTTTGCTGAGCCAGGTTATCTCCCATCTTGTAACTGTGCAATTGGTTTCTCTTTCCGAGGTGCAGGACTTTGCCCTTATCCCTGTTGAATTTCATTCTGTTGTTTGCAGCCCAGTTCTTCAGCCTATCCAGATCATTTTGAATGTTGTTTCTGTCTTCTAGGGCAGTGGTCCCCAACCTTGGGCCTCCAGATGTTTTTGGACTTCCACTCTCAGAAATCTTTGCCAGTAGAGATGGTGGTGAAGGCTTCTGGGAGTTGTAGTTCAAGAACATCTGGAAGCCTAAGGTTGGGGACAGTGGTGGGAAAAAAGAAAGAAAATATCCCCCTCTAGTGGCAGAAGGCAGAATAGCAGCTTCCCATTAGTTTCTATGGACAGAAAAGAGCAGATACGTATTAAATGGTTTTCAATGCATTCCTATGGGAAATGCAGATTCGACTTAAGAACTTTTCGACTTGAGAACCACCTTCCAATACGGATTAAGTTCTTAAGTCGAGACCCCACTGTAGCTATTCCGCCCAATTTGGTATCATCTGCAAATCTGACAAGCATTCCCTGCACTCCCTCATACAAGTCATTAATAAAAATATTGAAAAGCACCAGGCCGAGGACTGAACCTTGGGGTATCCCACTTGTTACCTCCTTCCAGTTACAGAAGGACCCATTAATCATCACCCTCTGAGTACAATTCTGTAGCCAATTGTGTATCCACCTGACACTTGAACTATCCAGCCCACACCTAGTTAGCTTGCTAATCAGGACATCATAGGGCACTTTGTCAAAAGCTTTGCTGAAGTCAAGATATACTACGTCTACAGCATTCCCTCTGTCTATCAGGGAGGTTACTTGATCAAAAATAAGATCAAATTAGTTTGGCAGGATTTGTTTTTGACAAATCCGTGTTGGCTTCAAGTTATTACTGCATTGTTTTCTAGGTGCTTGCTCAATGACCGCTTTAAAATCTGTCCCAGAATTTTGCCTGGGATTGATGTCAGGCTGACTGGCCTGTAGTTCCCAGGTTTCTCTCTTTTTGCCCTTTTTGAAGATAGGGACAACATTAGCCCTCCTCCAATCCTAAATTTAAATGTGCCTTACTCTAACTGCAACTTACTCTAGCCTAGTAAATCTCATTGTAGGCTCATCAGAATCTATGTAACGTATGGAAGCATTGACTCATTAAATCCCCACTGATTCAATTGATGTGCATTAATGCAATTTGCTATGCTAAGAAATAGGATTTTGGCCAATTAAGAAAGCATTTTTAAACTTTGTTTCAGTTCTCTTTGCTTAATGATACTTCGTGGAGCCAAGATGCAACTTTAAGTATTCTGTATGCATAGCATTTGTACTGAAAAGTAGGCAGGTTACACCTTGAAGCACGAGGCTGTGGTCAAATTTTATTACATAATACTATTGCCTCATGAGTCACAATTAAAAAAAAACACGATCAAAAATGATGCAATCCTGGTTGCGCATTTGTTTGGTTATTTCCCAAACATACAACAACCATAAAAATTAAGGTACTTTGGTTGTTTCTATTGTTGCATATAGAAATATTGTTTTTAGAGCAAAAGACTACAAGTATCATTGTGCATTATGATTCACAGACTTTTTTAAAAAATCTAATAGCTATGAAACTAATTGAGTGCTACTAATAGGAAGCTAAGCTGGTGTAATTTCCCCTCAGACTGAAAAGTCCTTTCCTGCGGAACTGTAGTCCAAAACATAACTTCCAAGCTCTGCATCAGTTGTAATTGAAGACATTCTTAATATCAGTATTTTCACATAATAGCTTAAGGCATGGGATTCTTCAGTTCTCTATAAATTCATTCTAAATACTTTTGACTCTGTAGGATTTAGCAAAAAGAAAGTTTACAAAAAAAAAACCAAAAAAAACCAGGCACGTACCATCATCCCAACTGCAACAGAGGCTTGGGCACCAGCTCTTAGCCCATCAGAGAGGTTTTCAGTGACTGAACGGCCCAAGAGTGCTGTATCTGAAGATAAGCGATTAATCAGCTCTCCAGTGCTGGTTTTATCAAAAAAAGCTGTTTCTTGTTTCAAGAGGGAGGAGAATATCGTTGTTCTCAGACGTTTCACAATTCTTTGTCCTATAAACTCAAGACATACAATTCCCTGAAAACATTTTACAGATTTTTTTTAAAAAAATTAGTAACCAGTCTCCCAACATTATTTGCAACACAGCAGCATTCCTACTGCATATTTCTGCTGGTGTAACATTAGCAGTATGCCTTTTGGTGGTGATTTGCCACAAGTTAAGAAGACAAAGTAGAAGTCTGTCCTATTGTCACTATTGGTGTGGGACAAAAAATGACGGCACCATCTTCCTGCTGAAGTTACACTGCTCTGACATTGTGCTGGTGGGCCATGCTAATAGGATTCTGGCCACTATGTAGCAAAAATCAAGGGAAAAATGAAGAAAAGTGTGCATGCATCATGAAGGCATCCATACATGCTGCCCAAAATCATTTTGGATAATTAAGCTGACATGCTAACTGTGTGACATTTGGACATAAAGATACCACCATAGACGTTACCAGCTGTGAGTTGATTCAATATGCAACAGATAATGTCTACAGTGATTTCTTAATTTGAGGCAATGTGTCTCTAAAAGTTACAGCATTAGTGTTATGCCAGTGTAACTATGCAAGAGCATTTTGGCTACTTTTTGTGTGAGGATGGGAATGAAATATTAACATGGAGCTGAATGGTGGATTTTCTCTCTCTCTATTAATGTGTACTTAATAAATATTCTAACCTGAAACATCAATTATCCCAATGGCACATATAACAATACGAGATCAGAAACAAAGTTATTTCTAATTAATAATTTTAGAAATGCATAACATAATCTTTATTAAAGAACATAATCTGGAAATGGAAGCATTTGCCTTGAACGTCTTTCAAACAGTTATTCTGTTTGCCATAAATACAGAAAAAAAAATTTTTTTTCCATCTTAATTACCTGCAGTCTGCATGAGGTAGACACGGGTTGCATTGGCGGCAGCACCACAGAAAAATATTCCACTTAGCAAGGCACAGAGGTTGGATAAGTTATCTGTGAGGTCACCAGTGGGGTTTGTGTAAATGACGTCAATAACTTTCCCCAAGAAAAAGGGGGCAGACATAGTGATGACACTGGAAACAGTCAGAAAACCAACTGCAGCTATAGGAGAAAAAAGGAGGAGAAAACACCACTCTTTTTTAATATTAGAAAAAAGGGACAAATGTTACACTAACATTTCTCAGAAATATAGTACTTCAGTTTTTTCAGCTGCAATTTAGCAGCCTAATTTGAACATTTGTAACATTTATCCAAGCAGAACATAGGTCTAAAGAATAGTTCATTACTAATTGCTTTTTCAAAGTAATTCATTCGTGTTACTTGTTACAAAAAGAGTTGTAAATTGTATTTGCAAAGGCTTTCACGGCCGGGATCTAATGGTTGTTGTGGGTTTTTCAGGCTCTTTGGCCGTGTTCTGTAGGTTGTTCTTCCTAACGTTTTGCCAGTCTCTGTAGCCGGCATCTTCAGAGGACAGCACTCTGTGCTCTGGTGTAGTTTGGCTTGGGAGTGCAGTATTTATGGCTGTGAGATAGGCTTTTGTCTTTTTCTGTAGATGGGTGATCAGTGTGTCTTGTTGTGGGTGTATTGTTGTGCTAAGGAGAAGAGAAGATGCCGGCCACAGAGACTGGTGAAACGTTAGGAAGAACAACCTACAGAATATGGCCAGAGAGCCCGAAAATATGTACATTTATTAGTATGTTTACACCTGAACATGTGGCCACAACAACCAAGAGTTGTAAATTATTTATTTCATTGGTTAGTTTATTTAAAACATTTTACCCTGCTTTATCTTAAAAAGGACCCAAGGTGGCTAACAGTATTAAAAAACAAAAAATGATTAAAGCTATAAAAATAAATTATTACAATATTTTAAAAGAACGAAACAAATATACTAAAAATTCATAGATAAAAACAGTACAAGACATGCATTAAAACAAAAAAAATAAAAGTTCCCTTTTAAAGACCTTCCCCCCAATAAGCAATCACTAAAAGGAAGCCAACCTAAAGGGAAAGGATGTATAAAACACAGAACTCCATCATTAAATGCTGCACAGGCACTCCCCATCTCCCACTATTTGGAACCTAAGGGAGATGCCTTACTGTGCCTAATGATAGGAAAAGTCGGAAAAAGAATATTGGTTAGGTGGATCAAATAGTTTGATCTCATATACAGTAAATTCTGACTTGGGGAGGTGTAAATATAATTTACAAAAATGTGCCACCAATAAATTAGAAATTTAAAACCAGTAGAAGTATGTGAATACTGTAGACAGGAACAACATTCTAGGCGAGATTCCCTTCCATCTGAGAAGCCTTTACACTTAGGGAGCCACAACGACAGTGTGTTTTCTAAAGCTAAGATGTCTTTCTGACTTCATTCTTTCAAAAGGAAACATGACGCCACCCGAAGGCTATAGTTCTATGCAAACATTCAAATGGTCTTTTAAACTTTAGGAAAGAATTGTGTTGGGATATCCCATCCCTATTGTGAAAAACAAGTTTCATGTGTTGGAAGGCAAGACTGCAAGCTGCCTATAAGTGTAGGCCTTCCACACCTAAAGGCCAAATGTGAGTTCCATACAGCAGAATTGGATTATACAGTATTTAGACAGCTACAATGCAGACATGCCCTTCAGTATGTGAAGACTGAGCATACTAAGAGCTTCCTCTTTTCCTTACTTCCACATATATGTTGAACAGCACATGCCTCTTGTGCTGCTAAGAAAAGAAACTACTGTACTGTAGATAGGGAAGTTCCTTCATACAAGGGTTGTAGCTCAGTTGTGGTGAACACGCTTTACAGTTGAAAGGATGTGGAACACATCCTTCAGATGGAAATTAACAGCACAATAGTTTAAATATTATATTTAAACATACCCTAAATAGAAGCTGACATATTATATTTAGCCCATCTAACATGATTAACTGCCACACAACAGCCCAGATGTATATAGTGTGGAAATTTTTCCACAAAAAAATATAGATCATCCGTGGAAAATTTTCCACTCCAAATATTTGGACCCAGAGTGAAAATATTCAGGCTGCTTCCCCAGAACATACACACAGAGGAAAACAGCAGGCTCCATCCCCATGTGTTTACAGTGGACCCTCTACTTAAGGAATTAATCCGTACTGGAATAGTGGCTGAAAGTCGAAAAGTCTGTAAGTCGAGCCGTCTGTAAGTCGAGGGTCCACTGTACTTGAAAAATACTGGTATATGTACATTTATTAGTATGTTTACACCTGAACTTGCGGCCAAAGATGGTAATTTATAATGGAGTTGCCTATCTACCCATTTATTTATTTGTTTAGTCATTAATTCATTCGTTTGTTATTTATATGCTGCCTTCCTAGGGAGCTCATAAAATTAAAACTTTACAATTAAATCAATTAATGGTAGTTGAAGTGTAAAGTGCAGAAAAGCTGAAAACAACATCAACAAAGATGTAAAAACTCATCAATATAAGAAAATACAGCACTAGAGATGGGGGCATGCATATATGAATATCCTCGCACAGGTGGCATTAAAGAGGATCCAGCCTCGTTAACGCCACCTGTATGGGGATATTTGTATACCAATACCCCTCTCTCTATACAGCACCCAACCAAGTCAGAGCCCTTCTGCAACAAAGGTCAGTTGCCAAATAAAAATGTTTTTTCCTGCCTATTGGGAAAAAAAAACGGACGAGGAATCCTAGCATCCCTTGGCTGAGAGGTAGGGTGCAGTCACTGAGAAGGTATCTCTGAAAAAGCCTGGTTTCCAATTGTACAGAGGGGCACTTGCATGCTGCAGATATGCCAGCCAACACTGTACTGCAGGAGGCACAGTCTCTCCCTGCGACACCTGATTAACTGGATTCACAGAAAACTTTTTTTATCAGTGGTCCACATCTGGTGGGCTGGGACCTCCTAAACCTGGAAGAGGTTTTGGCTGGGAGGGACCTTTCTGGACTAGAGTGAATGTTAGTCAATCCAGTAGCAGCCAACAGTTCCCTCTCTGCCTCCAAATTTTTAAGAGCACCATGCCTCCCTACTCACATTTCCCCCCCACACCTTTTTTTTCCAGTCAAGAGTCTTTGGACAGTTAGAATGTAGTATGTAGTCAGTCAGCAAGTTATATCACTTGCTACTTATGGGAATCAGCGACTTCCACATGGTCGTCATTAAGAGCCCTCCTCAAGTCAGAAAATTAACTAGCAGGGCTCCAAAATCATGTTTGGTCTAATGGAAAGTCCTGTGTCCAGAAAGCTTTAAGTTATTTTAAGAAACATCTTTCCAAACTGGTTTCCAGAAAAGTTTAGTTTAGTAGTTCCCAACCTTTTTTGAGTCACGTCCACCTTTTATAATAGCCAAGTAACCTGCAACCCCCTGCCATGTTTGCGTAAACACACATTTTTAATGGGGTAAAATCATCCTTTTCCTAGAAAGCAGAAGATTCTTTCTGCCCAAAGGGCCAGTTTCTCATACATACACATAACACAATGACTTTAACATCTGGATCTGGAAGGTCAAGGAAGAAATTATTTAATAACAGCTACTATACATATGAGGGATGTGGTGGTGCTGTGGGTTAAACCGCAGAAGTCTCTGTGCTGCAAGGTCAGAAGACCAGCAGTCGTAAGATCGAAGCTCCTGCCAACCTAGCAGTTCGAAAGCATGCAAATGCAAGTAGACAAATAGGTAACACCTCAGTGGGAAGGTGACGGCGTTCCGTGTCTAGTCACGCTGGCCACATGACCACAGAAACTGTCTTTGGACAAACGCTGGCTCCATGGCTTGGAAATGGGGACGAGCACTGCACCCTGGAGTCAGACATGACAGGACTAAATGTCAAAGGGAGCTTTTAACTTTACTACAGATATAAGGTGACCCTTCAAACACACACACATTCCAAGAAAATACTCTGCAGCCTCAGGATGGGAAACGCTTTTTTACAGTAGTTTATTGCGAGGATCTTTGTTACCTTTCTAGATTAAACTGATTTCTACAGTTGTACCTGTTCTGTATCTGCTACATGTATTCCTCTTTAAGTTCACTTGGGCATCACTTTACAGTGAAAAGGTGGGACGGAACCAGGAAGTAAAATTCGGGCAGCTTGATGGGAGGAAAGATTTGGATACAAGAAAATGCAGGTTTGGAGACATTTTAGGGTGCCTGAAGCTTGAACTATTGGGGGGTGGGTAGGCTTCATAACAAGCAATGAATGAGGTCTGGGTAACCACTGTTATCATCTTCCATGGGCTTGTTTCATCACAGATCACCATTTATTTATTTTTTAAATATGGAATAAAGCCCCTTCTGAGGTCCCTCCGGGATTACAGGCCCTAAGCTTAAAATTCATTAGTTTCATAGTAGACCCACCCCTGTGTGAAGAGAAAAAAGCTAGAAGGAAAAAACAAGACTGCCAGAATGAGATTTAGGTAACAGATAGCCCGAAGGAGGCATCCTGTTCACAGTGGTGGGAGTTAAGGGCAACATTACAGTTTTATGATAAAACATTACAGAAGGCAAAGTGCGCTGGCCAACAAGCGAATACAAATGTCTAACTGCTGAAGAGAAGAAATGCGTGCGCACTGGTGCACAAGGCCCTTTATTACTGCCTAAGGTGAAAATCTGGGCAGACGCATGCCGGGAATGAAAGGCAGGGAAAGACAGCAGGAAGGAGAGAATGCCACGGGCTGACACGAGTCCACGGAGGCCGCCATTCAGAGGGCATGTCTGCTTGCCGGGCAGGCGAGAAAAGGGGGGGGGAGGGTTTACCTGCCAATCTCCCGCGCTCAGGATAAGCCAGGGCCAAGAGCCGCCGGGCGTCGGACACGCCGCCGCGGTCGGGCCCGGCAGCCAGA